GCACGAGACCAAAAACTAAATGTAATTGCTGCAAATGAAAATTCATAAAAATGAAAAATTAATTAAATTCTTTATGAAGATTACTTAATTTGTTTCCTTGTTGCCACAAATTATTAATTTCCACCACAATATCATACCATGTGCGGGGATCTGTAGTATTACATGAATAAAGAGTCACAAAGAATTGCAGTCTGTCTGGAGCAGACAAACACAGACAAGCGGACTGATACACCAGTGAAAAGTCCCAGTGCTGTATCTATGCTGTTAGAACACTGTTCAACCAATCAGCTTTGACAACCGGACTGTTATATAAAGACATGCAAGTAAAAGTGACAACAAAATATAGCAAAAGCACAATAAATCAACAAATAGCAAAAAAGGAAAAAATGATGGGAACATGCTGAGAACCTAAACACTGTGTACATATACTCAAGATTACTGTAATGCAGGCACAGATAATTATTGTAATTCTACAGCACAACACTGCTACATTACTGTTATTTTCTGAACCTGTTTACAGTGAAGTTTCAGCATACAGTCATCATTTAATTGCAATACATTTTAGAACTACTAATGTAAAAAAATGCACAGACCTGTTCAGTGCACAAATATTATATATCCAATGGAAGTGGGACTGAAAAATGTGATTAAAATGTATTAAAGCATCAGTATTAAACCTAAATTTCAATATACAGCCGATGCATAGGAAGTCTTAGCAGGTTGTTCACACTATCGCAACCTGTGTTTGAAGCTCAGAGTGGGATGGCATGTGTCCATTTGGTTGGGTCACAGTTACCATTCTGTCCGGGGTTTGAACCCACAACCCACGGGTCACACAAACCCAAGGCCACCAAACCACCAGGCCTGTGCACAGCCATGCTCGTAAATTATGCCGACATTTCAGGAAAGGGAAAGTCAGAGGAGACTTACGTTCCAGTTCAACAGTAAAGACTGGACACAGGAAGGCAGGAAACAGCAACCAGCAGCTTTGTGTTTTCCATGCCATCTCTGGAATAATATTCCATTTAAAAAGCCACCTACTCACAGGGATCAAGTTGCAGTAAGTCAATGTGACATTTCATGTAGTATCAGTGCTAAAAATGTCAAATATAGCTCTTCCTAGTTATAGTTTTTTTAATTTTTTATATGTCTATATAATTTTAAGGACCACAATCAACTATTAAGCACAAATATTTTAAGTTTGCCAGTTGCTTTCGCTTCTTTTAGGAAAATAAACAAATAAATAAATAAAATAAAATAAATAAATAATATTATACATATAAGTCTGTTATGCTCAAGGCTGAAATTGATAATAATAAGAAATGTTTCTTCAGCCTCAAATCAGCTTATTAGAGTGATTTCTGAAGGATCATTGACACTGAAGACTAGAGTAATGATGCTGAAAATTCAGCTTTGCCATCACAGGAATAAATTATATCTTAATATTCAAGTAGAAAACTGTTATTTCAAATTGTAATAATATGCAACACTGTTTTTACTGTGTTTTTGAACAATTAAATGCAGCCTTGCTGAGACATAAGAAACAAGGCAGATTTGAGAGACATATTACATCACGCATCTACCAGGTGTAAGCAGGGCCAGTGTGTCCCGTAATAGATACGCGGTTCCTTTACGCATTTACGGGGTACACGCATGTTAATTCACGCACACATATGCGCCACGTCCTGCTGCTTACACAGGAAGGGGAGGTAGAGCTACTTCCTGTCCAATAGGGGAAGAGTAAGGGTATAGCAGGGGTCCACACTTCCTGTTAAGAAGAAGAAGGGAGGAAAGAAACAGAAAATATACAGATGACATCATGCAGTAGGTTTGTTGGACGGGGTTTTGGGGAGAGTCCGTATTTTGGCCTGATGGAAAAGCTGAATCAAGTGTGCAAAGAAACACACACACACACACGTGCACTCTTCAGCTGCAATAATAAAACACTTACACAGGTCAAGCTCTTTCGTCTTCTAACTTACTGACACATGAAATAACTAACACTCCCACACGTGTAAACGCATAAAACACACACAGAAACATGCTACATGACAAGTGTAAAGGGTGCAACTTAAGTTTGGTATAATATGAAGAATATGCGAGTGATGTTGTCATGCAAATTATACTGGCATGACTGTTCACTATGGTTGCTAGGGTATTTCTCTGCAGTATCTCCAAGAATTGTCTCACACGATTGCGTTCCCAAAAATCAGGTGTCTTTCTCTGAATGCAACATAACATGACAGCGTTTGTTATTGCATATGTCGTTATGAGCTTCAGTTGTTTCCCCAGTTGCAGTAACTTCTATTTTTATTTATTTTTTTATTAATGATAATTTGGCCAGTTTCCCAGGAAATGATGATTTTGTTCTCTTTAACACGTGGATTGAAATGGTATTTCATTTGCAAAATTTTTATGCAATATTCCATTTTTGGTATAAGTTAAATTCACAGCTTTGAATGGAAACATAGCTTATGATATTCTGGTCTCAAGATATGCGAACACAGCGTGAGCCGTGATGTCTGATTTATGAAAAAATGACTCATTAAGGCCTGTTCACACCATGGATGATAACTATAATGATAAGGATACAGTTTTAAAAATCTTGTCCACAAGTCCACAGCTATAACGATATAAAGGAATGATATCTTTGGAATCACTGATTATTTTTTTCCACTAAAACATTGACAGCCAATCAGAATCATTCCTGCTTTACAAAGCTTGAGCATTTTATGAGTCAGTCAAAAAAGCTTCACAAAACAGCCTCAAGCCCCTTTGTAATTTAACGATTTGAATCAGACTGACTCAGTGAATTATTTAGAGTCATTACTGCTGACAGAGTCATTTTTGGTCTGATTTGAAATTAACTGTTATTGTGCTGTATAGTAGCTACATTTTAGGTTTGTGAACATTACATCAGACTATTTACTTAATAATTGTCATAATATGTAACAAATAAAGATACATGATGTGTGTATATATATATATATATATATATATATATATATATGTATATACATAAAACTTTATTTTAACTATAATCAATACAACATAAAAATCCTTTCTCTTTTTTTCTGTCTGGAGCCCTGCTATTATCAGAGCTATGCAGGTACAGAAACAGTGTAAGCAAAAGTTCAAAATGTTCAAAGGCGTTGAGAATGCTTTGAACGTCTTTATTTTTAGGCCCAACATCTTTTCATAGAAAACAAACACTGGTCAGTTGACTGATAATGAGATACAAAGACTTAAGTCGAAACATTGTTTTAAACTTGAGATTCCTGAAGCCTGCAGAGTTGAGTTTGGATTATTCATCCTTCCAAAAAGTGAAGAGCTTTACTGTCAGTTTCATTTGGGAAAAAAATAAATAAATAAAAAATCACCAGGGGTGCAAATCATGAGTTCATGAAGCCACAGATGGGCAATAAACCGTAAACTGTGAAAGAAATGGCGAAATACCAGCAACAACCACAAATGTAGCTTTCAAGTCTTCTTTCTGTCTGTCACACAAAATAACATGCAGCTCAAAATAAGCGTTGTTTTGCTGACCTGCACATCGGACTTCAGAATTACTGGACCTGCATGATCGGTCAGTGTTGTTCTTTCCATTTAGGGAGCTGGTCAGGGGTGAAAAAGAGCTCCTCTTCCCTTTAACATCCTTCCCCCTGCAGCACACACACACACACACACACAGATATTCTCCAACACATAGATTCCTGCTATCCCATCATCCCCAGTTTCCCCAGGATCTTCCTCTGTTTTGACATTCCTGCTAATTCTATGGCTAATTAATTGGCGGGATGAAACTTTACCGCACGGCAGCTGACCTGGACCTAACTGAGCCCACTTAACGTCTTGGCAAAAGAACCTGTGGTGTGTCATTCAACAGACATCCGAATATAGTCAGCATGATATGAAGGAAAAGAACACATGAAATGTGTATCATTGGATGTAAAGAATAACACACACTAGGCATCCTGCCTGAAATGTAAATGCTTTGGAAAGACTATTTTCCCTCTTGAAACCCACTCTTATATCAATCTTTTTGTTCTCCAGTACTGAGTGAATCAACATGAGGGAGCATTTCTTTAATCTCAGAGCTGCCTTTTTTTGTATAAAGACATAAGAGAAGACAGTTTCAGTTTTGTTCTCCTCAGTCGAAAATGTTTTCTTTTTGTTCGTGGTTTTAGGTGAAAAAATAGCTTAAAGAGCCAAACTCATTTTGTGGCTGATCAAAAATCTTGGAGGAGGGAATCAGAGAGACAAGACTGGATTACAACTTAAACATTGCGGCCCTGCTCTCGCTCTCCATTCTCTCAAAAAGGCAACAACAATTGCAGCCACATCACCATTTTACATAAATCAGGCAAATATGCACCTAATGCAAGTGTAAAGATTTGACAACTACCCAATATTTAGTGACAACTTTATTTTGCAAAATATGCATCGATACATTTTGCTGTGTAATACATTTTTTTATTATTAAAACTATTTTAAGAAGAAGAAAAAACACATTGAAAAGCACATGCACTCTGTGGTGTGGGAAAGTGTGTTAGTGAAATACTATGTACAATTGTGTGTTTTCAATTTAATTGCTTTGATTTAATAGCTCTGAGACATTTTTTATTGCAAACTCTTTTTATTTGAAGATAATTATTACCAAAAGGGGGAGAGTTATTACCAACGCAACATGTTCCTCAAGTGCTAAAAGGATTACAAAATTTCATGTCCACATGAAATGCCCAATTCAAACATATTCAACCACACAGAACTCATTTTGTGGCTGATCAAAAATCTTGGAGGAGGGAATCAGAGAGACAAGACTGGATTACAACTTAAACATTGCGGCCCTGCTCTCGCTCTCCATTCTCTCAAAAAGACAACAACAATTGCAGCCACATCACCATTTTACATAAATCAGGCAAATATGCACCTAATGTAAGTGTAAAGATTTGACAACTACCCAATATTTAGTGACAACTTTATTTTGCAAAATATGCATCGATACATTTTGCTGTGTAATACATTTTTTTATTATTAAAACTATTTTAAGAAGAAGAAAAAACACATTGAAAAGCACATGCACTCTGTGGTGTGGGAAAGTGTGTTAGTGAAATACTATGTACAATTGTGTGTTTTCAATTTAATTGCTTTGATTTAATAGCTCTGAGACATTTTTTATTGCAAACTCTTTTTATTTGAAGATAATTATTACCAAAAGGGGGAGAGTTATTACCAACGCAACATGTTCCTCAAGTGCTAAAAGGATTACAAAATTTCATGTCCACATGAAATGCCCAATTCAAACATATTCAACCACACAGAAGGGAAGAATGCGAGATAAATTATTAGTCGCCAATGGATCAAAATACGTCAGATGTCATGAAAAAAAAAGAGTATTTGAAAGATATTAAGTGCAGTATAAAAGTCTTGAGTGGTTTTCACATACCCAGTGCAAAACATATTCTCATACAACCTTATATAAAATGTCTATAAAAATAGAAATAAACAATATAAAAAGCAAATAAAAAGACACATATCTATATATATGCATTGCAAAAATATTCACATTCTTGACTTCCACGTCCCAGTACCCTCATTTGAGACCGTAAGCATACAGTAGCTGGATGGAGTCAGCAAAATTATCGGTTAAATCGGCCACAGTCTCAGAAAGTACAGGTTATCAAGACCAGAAATGACTAATCATACTGTGAAATGCAATTTAGTGAAGTCTATACAGTGAGAACCATCCTGTATAGAGTTCAGTAACCTCCAGTGATTCGTGAAACCGGGCAAGATGATTCCCTGAAGAAGGTAACTCGAATAAATCAAAAAGATCTGAGACTCAAAAAAAAAGCCATATGTGCACCAGACTTCAGGACTGCGTGGAGAAGCGGTTTTATCCCGTAATGCACGCGCTGTAGTAGACGGCGCTGCTGGCGTCGGACAGGGCTGATATCAAAGCGCTGCTCTCCTCGCAAGGGGCGTTCCTGCTCAATCGAGTCCTGCTCGCGCTCAGGTATTGGTCGAACTCAATCCTGTCCACTTCGCCCCAGAACTCAGCCGAGGGTCCCAGCTGGTCCACAGCGTCCAGAGAGGGCGGAGCGACCTGAGCGACTGCCGAGGTCTCGGGCGGTGGAGACAGCTGGCCCAGATGAGAGGTGAAGGCAGGCTGGGACTGACTGCTCCCGTATATCTGACCGTAATAGCCTGCAGGTGTGGGAGTGTGAGGAGCCTTGGAGGATTCTGGGAGGCTCATGTTGGGGTAGAGCCCGTTAAGGTTCGTGGGCTCCACAACCAAGCATTTCTCCTGCAGTGGGAGGCAGGCCAGCGGAGACTTCTGGTTGAGGTGTGGGTGGGAATGCTGGAGGTTATGGGAGTTGTGGTGAGGGTGGTGGCCAGTCTGATGGTTTGGATGCTGGTGGTAGTTTATCCACGAACCCAGACCCACATCTTCCTGCATGTGAGGGGGGAAAAACACTGAATCTCCGCCTCCCTCCTCCAACACGTCCAGCGGTGACATCTCCGGCGTCGGCAGGCCAAAACTTTCCAGCTCTGGAGCTCCGGAGGGGGGGAGGTCTCGGAAGTGTCCCAGAGGAGGCAGCAGATGATGTGCATGGCGATGTGGCGAGTAGGCATCTCCTGGTCCCGGGCCGCCAGCGAGGCCTTGGAGGAGCAAACCCGGTTCCACTCGTTTCATCTTCTTGGGCTGTTTCTTGCGGCGAGGACGGTATTTGTAGTTCGGGTGATCCTGGAGGTGCTGCAAACGGAGTCTTTCGGCTTCCTCCACAAACGGACGCTTGTCTAGTGTGCTTAGAGCCTTCCAGGATTGACCTAAAAACATAATCCAATCAGTGTTATTGTTTCAGGATTCGTTGTGCTACTTTTTGCGTTAGTAGCTTATAAATATGATTTTTTTATCATACCTAGTTTAGTCACTACAACATTGTTCTAATTTAATCCAGAAACAATGCCAGATTATTGAGCCAGATTCTTCAGATTATTTATAAAAAGTATTTAATTTAGCTCTCTGGAATAAATATACAAATATAATCATGCACAAATGATTTTTAAATGAGCTGTCACAATTGTTACGTTTGCAGCAGCGATTGCTTTTGGTGAAAACAGATGTAACACAAGCACTGACAAACGTGTGTGTGACATGAGCAAATCATTACGTGTAACTGGTGCGGGGCACACGGGGTTGGGTTGTAGTATTTGAATTATTAATGGGTCAATGGCTGCAGACAATCGGCAGCTTGTGTTTCTGCCACAGCCCTGTTATATTTCAAAAAATAAGGACATCAAAATGTCTCCCAGAGAAACAGCCAAACACAAATATTGTGCAAGATTTACAAACTTGTAATTTTTTTACAAACCCAAAAATGATCATGTTTAAACGATTAGATTTGGAATTAACTTAATTGTATGGCCATTTACTAAAGATTTAAGTGACAATGTGGTCACGTTTGCTTGTCATTTAATAGTAGTATAATTTTATTCGAATTATTCCTCTAATAAGCTCACATTCACAATATTTTTAAAAACTTAATTATTATTCTTTATTTTGATTTATTTATTTTAATATTTTATTATTTACTACATGTATTAATTAGGCAATTCTGACACATATATTATATATTTTTTATTTGAATTTTCATATTTTAAACCACCAGTTTTCAAATATGCCACATCCGTGACATCGCCCTCTCCTGATGCACTAGATTGACCCCAGCTTAACCCCCGAGATGTGATGTATAGCGAGTGTCTTACCCAGCATCTTACTGAGCACGGCGTTATGCAGGTCTGGGTTCTGGAGGGCCAGACGTTTGCGCTCATCTTTAGCCCACACCATGAAGGCATTCATCGGCCTCCTGATCCTCGAATCCCCCCCTGATTTCCCCTCGCCGGAGCCCAGGGTCAGAGCTCCAGGGCGGGTTGAGTCCGGGCTTCCCGTCCTGGCCTCTGCTCCGGTTTGGGACCCCATCCGTGTTCCAGAGCCGGGCACCGGCGCCAGCTCTGTGGTCCGGCTGCGGTCAAAACCATGTCCCCGGTCAGGGCCCGGAGTGCTGGAAGAGGCACCCCATGTCCCACGCTCCGCAACCGGCCTGGGCTGAGAACTGGCCTCTTGACAGCAACTAGACTCAGATATATTCATTCCAGCAAGACCACCACGGTTAAAGCACGCAGTTGTCTTTGGATAGAAGCAACACCAGGACGTCTCTTTGCTACTTTAAGCTACTTTAAATACAGACTGACCAGTAACCCAAATGAAACGAATCGTAAAAGAAAGAAAAAGAGTTAGAAAAGGCTGCACTCTTTTTTTTCGGATGTTTCAGAGAAGTATAAAATCCCACAGATGTTAGTGTTTTGTAACTCCTGCCCTCCAGACGGTATATAGTTCTTGTGCTGAGTTTGAAAGTTGTAGTGAGTTTTGATGAACCCATGCTGTAAATATATACGTGGCCTGAGCCAATCAGAGCGTCAGCCCGGACAGGAGAGGCGGGAGGAGCAGCCAGTGGGAGTTGTCCTGTCCCCCTTTACAGCCTCCACAGACAGAGAGATGTAATATGAGAGGGCCATTGTTTTAGGCCTGCTGTACACACACTCATATAGGGCACATACACTAAATCATAACACACTTGCGCACACACAGGAACCCTGTTTGTACTGGGCGGCCGGGACCACAAAGAAAGCTGTGCACTTGAGTGTTAACAACTTGCAACAATGAGCACAAATGTAAAGACATGGCAGTCAACACGAAGTGAAGAAAACACATAAACCCAACATACACACTAATGTAACATAACCATTTTAGATGCATTCAACCTTTGCCCTGAATATACAGAAAAGCCTGCTCTCTGGTTTCTTGGTAGCATGAAATAACTATACTTAAAGTGATTTATAGACAGTTTTCACAGCTAAATATTTGTGGTCAACCCATCATTTATTTAAAAATACACTGTTAAAAGTGAAAACATGCAGTTTTTACCCTAAAAAATGAGTTCTACCGTACGTGACCCTTAAAAATTACTGTAAAAATTACTTTGTGTAACCCAATATAGTCAGGCTGATTTAGTCATATTGAATATTGTATTTGACTTGGATAAAACCTGATAATTTAGAAGCAGTGCAAATTATTTATATAGGGGTGAGAAGTGTAAAAGCTGTTTTATTAAAATCGTGGACATTAAAAGTTCACAAATCTACAGCTAAAAAGTAGCTAATACTTCAGTTTATCCACTTTATTATTTTAGGAGCTGAGGTTTTCTACAGTTTCATACTGTAATTTATATATTTTTTTTATTTTTATTTTATTAATTTTTATCTTCAATTTAATTTTTTTGTTTTACATTTTTTCCTTGTTTATATGTGTGACCCTGGAATACAAAACCAGTCATAAGGGTCAATTTTTTGAAATTGAGATTTATACATCATCTGAAAGTTGAATACATAAGCTTTTCACTGATGTATGGTTTGTTAGGATAGGATAATATTTGGCCGAGATACAACTATTTGAAAGTCTGAAATCTGAGAGTACAAAAAAAATCTAAATATTGAGACATTTTCCTTTAAAGTTGTCCAAATGAAGTTCTTAGCAATGCATATTACTAATAAAAAATAAAGTTTTGATATATTTAAAGTAGGAAATTTACAAAATATCTTCATGGAACATGATCTTTACTTAATATCCTAATGATTTTTGGCATAAAAGAAAAATCGATAATTTTGACCCATACAAGTATTGTTGGGTATTGCTACAATACAAATATACCAGGGTCTATTTGTGGTCCAGGGTCACATACTGTACAGACTGAACAGATTGTCAACACATCCCACCGCTGTATGGCCAGATGAGACGCAAAGGTTGTACTTTCAGAGATGTATTTTATTCAACCTGTTACAGTTGCAAAAATGTTCTTTTTGTTGACTAAAATATTATATTCTTTTTCTGCATGACAAAAGATTTCATTCAAAATATATATTTTTGTGTAAAAAGACAAAAATTATGACCAAAAAAATTCTTAGTATAACTCTCACACTGTCTGGGTTTGTATGCAAACGTGAAATAGTTTTATTGCTCATCTAAACATTATGTTTATAGTCTAATGAGCTGAAATCACGGCCATGCTCTGGTTGACAGTGGCATTTATTACATGGCTGTCAGTGAAAAATGCAGCATAGAAGGAGGCGAGTTATTAAACACCTGCGATTACAATGAACTTCACACTTCACAATGAGCTTCATTAACTTAATGCGGATAAAATGGAGAATATAAAAAATAGTTATGTTTGCAAACGAAGTGAAGTAGAAAGTAGGCCAATCTCCATCACTCTGGTTACAAATATAGAAGAAATGCCAAACATTGGATGGGTCAGGGAGGGCGACCTCTTAATGAGATGGGATGTCGGCTTGCCTCTCTCCTTTGAAAAGGGTCACGGTCAACAACAGTTGAACACAAACATTTAACCTCATCTAACTCAAGAGGATGTGAAAGTTAAAGACCATCACTCTTAAACTATGTCCATGTTCTTAAAACTATATGCACCCAAGTGCATGTGTATGAAATGTAAAGTTGGCGTTTGATTTACCTTAAAAGAATGTGAAGTAACCACATTTAAACATTCTTAAACGTCCTTGTGAAAACCACAGATTAGTCCTGTGGTTTCTTGTCTCCAAACCTATGCAATTCATCCAGTCTTAGACGGCTGCATCCAGCCAATTTCTCCCCCCATTGAGCAGTACATCGATATCCTCGACTCTATGAATAAATGCAAGGCGAGGCAAGAGAGTTCAGGCCGCACAGAATCGCACAGAGGGAAATGGAGTTTTATGTGTATGTGAAGTGGATTTAACTCCATTAGTACAGTAGGCAGCTCAGGAACAGGCCACAAAAGGCCACGAGAGGCGTTTTATTGTTTAATCTATGAGGACTTGTCATGGTTTTCTGAAATATAATGGTGCTGGCATTTGTCTTTAGGAAGATGAGAGAGCTATTATGCAGAGAGGGTGATGAGTGTAAAAAGGGAAATGTGCAGCTCTAGTTGATCTTTGCGTAAAATTACTTTCATGCACTCAGGTTTAAAAAAGAGGGATGTAGGGCTATGAAAAAGCAAGGTCTGAATGTTTTAAGCAAAGTATAATGTTTTACTACACCAATTTACTTATTATTATTATTATTATTTTCTTTTCAGCAGAAAAAATATTTTTTTTATTTTCTTTTTATTTAATTACTTGCCAGAAAATAGTTTATTTTGATTATTTTGTGTTGTGCTTAAAACATAAAAATTATATATATTTATATGTATTCTTTTTTTATTTTTATTATATGTATTTTATTGCAAATCACACACACACACACACACACACACATATTTATATATAATTTGCAATAAAAATAAAACATAATAAATATAATAAAATTTGGTATGATTTTTATATTTTAACAACAACACAAAGAAATTCATGTTACCCATGTTAAAATGATTTTAGTTGTATTAAAATTTCAGTTTTAGTTATTTTAGTACCATTTAAGTATCAAGATAAACTAAATTGCTTAGGCAACTAGCTGAAATCTTTTTCTTTTAATAAATATTTTATTTCAGTTAAAGTTTTATAATTTTTTTTAAGTAATGAAAATTTTGTTATGGTTTTACTTTTAGTTAACTATAATAACCCTATTTAACCTTTATATTCACATTGTGAGATATGGCATGGCGTGTTTGTGACATAACTTAAATGTAAATAAATACACACTTACACATACGTGCTTCTGCTGCGTCAGTGATTTACCGGCAAATATTGCGTGGGCCGTGTGGACGGGAAGGTCTCTCCTAGATGGTGAAAGTTGGCTACGTGACAGTGGTCTTCGCCTGGCTGTCTGCTCCGCATTCCCCTCTGGATATTCTCACAGTAAATGTGTGTGAGGCCGCCTCACCGCTCTTCCAGTCCACCTCCTGCCGCCCACCACCTCCAGAAACAGGAAGTCAGGGATGTTCCTGCGGGCCGCCATGACGGGACCTGATAAGATCAAGAGATACCATGAGAGAGAGAGAGAGAGAGAGGGAATGCTGAGGAAGAGAAAGGACAGCTGACCTTTGACCCACCCGACCCCTCGGGTCCTCTTGTGGAGGTGCCCGGTTTGGCGTGGCAGATCGCTGGCCTCCTGCCCGCCGCGAGCGACAGCACTCCCACTTCACCGCTGTCTCTGTGTCTCTGTGAAAGAACGAGAGACGGGCACCACACCTACACCACAGCGGAAATTTGGCCAAGACTCCAGACTGAGCGGCTAGAGGAGGAGAACTTCACAACACTCTCTCATCTTTTATTTCTCTCTTTACTGTACGGGGCGAGGAGACACACAGAAACAATACCACTCACACACACACACACAAATACACACGCACAGGCATTTTGATGAACAAAGACTCAATGAATTTCAATGAGTGTGTGTGTGCTTTGATTATTGATGAATATGTTGAAGTCGCTCCAAATGAGTGTATTTATGAGTGTGTGTGTGTGTTGGAGGTGAAGGTTTTATGAAATATTCAAGCGCTGTTCTATTTTCTGCCGCTTGATGAAGGGAAGTTTGTGCTGATGGATGGAAGCAACTATGTTTGGGAATCCCCCATGTTAACAATATTCTCACACACACTGAAAACAATTGATAGCCATACGATAACACATCCACACACATTTACTCCAGCTAATCAACTGATGGTCATTTATTGTAGTTTATTACATTATTTAATAATTTTTTTTTACTATCGCTAGGACACATTTCTCAATACTTAGGTCTTTTTTTTTTAATTCTTCACAAAGTGAGCACAACAGCAGTCTATGTGGGCTAAGCTGTGGATCATTTATCATTGCTTTGGAACAAAATATCTTTTATTACATCTTTCACATTACATGAAATTCTTTCTCATTCAGACACAAAAACCACTAAATACCTACAGGCCAATCTGCATATTTACATACTCTTTTAAAACTTATGTTCAAAACACAAACTTAAGACAGGAATTTGCTACATTTCTACAGTAATACCATACTGAAATATATATATCAAATCTAAATACTATCAAAACACTTGGTGTTAATCAGCTGTTAATCTTTAAATTTCATTATACCAATGAGTGGGCAGCCATATTGCTGCGGTGCCCGGGGAGCAGTTGGGGGTTCGGTGCCTTGCTCAAGGGTCTCACCTCAGTCGTGGTCTTGAGGGTGGAAGAAAGCACTGGTTATTCACTCCCTCCACCGACAATTCCTGCCGGACCTGAGACTTGAACCCACAACCTTTGAGTTACAAGTCCGACTCTCTAACCATTAGGCCACGACTGCCCCCATAAATGAGTGACAAAGTGTGTTTGCTGGGTGACAAGAAGTAGTTTTAGTGCACTTTGAATGTGAAATTAAATGCTGT